GTAAGAGTTAGGTAAACAATTTGTAAATTTTAAGAAAATTAGCTAAGTTAGTCATATATAAAAAATGTGTATTCGTTTTCCTAAAATATTTCTTTTAATCATTTGAATTGGAAGTTAGGCATGCTGATAAAAAAACTCTTTGCCTGTCTAATTAATACAAATATGTTACACGTCTCCTTTCATGAAAGCAGTGGATCTCGTAATTAAAGCAACAATACGAGTGTAAAATCCAGGTATACTTCTTTATACTTTTAATCTCACCGTACTTGTCAATTTAATTTATTTTTCAAATTTTTATTTTTAAATAACTGCTAAATTTAAACCCGTTCAAAATTAAATTTAAATGACGTAAATGAGAACTATAGGCCATCTCTATAGAAGACCAGACCAATTAAGAACTCGAAAAACAAAATATAACCATGACCCAAAACTTTAAAAAGACAGGATCAATGAGGAGGAGGATAAAAATCTAACCAACAACCAAGAAGTTGTAATGATCTCAAAGAACTAGAGCCTTACTAAACAAAGAACCAAAACAAATCTTAAAGAACCAGAGATTAGTAGAAAAAAACACCAGGTGAGAAGAAAGAAAAACAAAGAAACATTATGTAGAAAACAAGTACACCATAAATCTTTCTTCTTCCCAGACGTGAAATCCCAAACAAGCGTAGGAAGCAGGGGCAAAAGGTGCTCGTGTCAATAGACAAAAGCTAAAAGTAGCTATTGCACTGCTTATAATCTGCAGCTAGCAAATGATAGTCTCATATTTTAATGCGACTTGAAAATTGAGTGAAAGGTAGAATATTAGCTAATAATCTAAATGGTGGCAAACTGTCATGACCGTTAAATCATCCATTGCATCTTGGCAAAAGACCCCCTAGTGGTGGACAGGGCCACTAGTAGTGGGATCAAAAATACTGTGCACATCTGTGGGGCGTTGCTTTTTAAATGGTTAATGTTAGTTGACTTAAAGTGACTTTTTCTCTCTCACTATTTTAAAAACTTGATATGTATTTTTGCACCATTATTTTCACTAACATATATGTTTGCAAATTATCAATGTTGGTTAATTTAGTAGCCGTGATATTTTTACATCATTTTAAAAATTTTGTTTGTATTTTCGCACTCAGAAAATTTATAGCGTTAGGTATTTATGGCGGAATACTTCATGAATGATTGGATTTGTACCTTAACTCAAAAATAAAATCAACAAGATGTTAATACAATTCAGAGTAAAGTCATATATATGAAGGTGATTATAGGGTTCTAATAATTCTGGGATGACTAAACACCAAGGCAACGTGGTTTAAGTGAGAAAGCATGCTTGAAAGCTAATTAGCTTGATTTAATCCGAAAGTATTTTAGTATTTTAGGGTTGATATATATCATCCACATAAGATATGATCTATACTTAGGATAGCTAAGGACTATTAACCCTACGATGCCTATACTGATAACAAACACGAATCCCATATAGAAATTGCAACCGTCGCACCTAAAAGAAGCTAGTAAACAACGTGGTAAAAGAAAAGGAAGATCAACCCGAAGAAGCACCCAGGGATGAAAAGGGAGGGATCAAACCAACAAAGAACCAGAGATTTAAACCAAAAAGAACAGCAAAATGAGATGGTGACTCGCCAACCAAATCTTGAAGAACGAGAGATGAGTTGAAAGATCAAAATCAGGCGGAAAAGAGAGAAGAGCAAAGAAGTATCATATACAAAACAAATAAGTACATGTAGATCACCCTTCCCATGAGCTGCATTTTAAATCATATATATAACAAGCACAGCACAAAATACCATAAAAAAGAAAGGACCATTTTTTTCTTGGAAGTTGCGACTATGTCTTCTTCTCCCAAATCTTACAAAATTGAGCACTATTTTTAAAAAATTTTGGTCAACCCTTTCTCCTCCAATCCAGCTGTCATCATGATTTTTTTGTTCATTTTAATTAAACAAAAGAAGATGATTTTATTTTAATTTTTTTTAATTTTAGTTCTTTGTTTTTTTATCGGCGTTATTTCTTTATTAATGGTCAATAGTCCTTCTATTATACATTCACATGCTGTACTACTAAATGCCCGGGGCGATTAAACATTTAATTTGGTCCCCATAATTTGATTTGTCCAATGTTGAAATTAGTCCCTAGACTTCAATCTTTTCTAACGGAGTGGCTTAAGTTTTGGTCTTTTAATATGTTAATCCCTCGTTTTTATCCTTATATGCTTTTTATGTTGTAGTTCAAGAATATAGCTTTTGCGGTCACTTAATTCTCGAAGAACTCTCATTTTTACAAATTTGTTAATATTTGAAGTTTATTACTTGCTAACTACAGAGAAAAACCATCAATTATGGTGAAGCAAAAATCGCACAAATTTATATTTGTCAATTATTATAAAAAAAGTCAAATATTTGATAATTATTATGTGAGCCACCAAATATAATTAATAAATACCTGACAGTTAAGTAAATAACTTGCAAATAATATTGTTATGTTTTATTTTTTTTAAAACCCTTCAAATAATATAATTAAGGGATAAGGTTTAATTTTGTTCTAAGAGATTTTTCTGAGAAGTTATGGGTATCCAAAGTTTTTTTTTTTTTTTAAAGCAGTGTCATCCCGAAAGTGTTAAAAATGTAACAATGTCACCCTTCTATAAACCTCATTTACGTTGACCGTCAATTTTGACTAAAAATGGCTTACATGTCAGCCACATGCTTTCTCACTCTTCCATCTCATCATCGCTCATCATCATCCTCCCTCATTCACTCTTTGGGGGGCTCCCCCGGGGGGGGGGGGTGTGGTTTTGTTCGCGCCCTCATCTCCTTCGATTCGCTGCCCCCACCCATAGCCATGGAATGAAGCGGGATAGGGGGTGTCAAAGACGCCTTCTCTGATGCCCCATCAGCTGCGCCAAATCTTAGCCATTAAATTAATCTAGTGTTTGAAAACATTTTACTAATTAAAATGACATCGTTTTCATTGAGCACATCTGACTGCTCATTCATACACTAAATCACAACCATCAATAAATTTTTCAACTTGGGCATCGTCTTCCTCACACAATAACAGAGGCATTGTCAATGTTGTTTGAAGGGAAGCATAGGAAGGCTCCATTGAGGTAAGTCTGAAGTTTAAGGCATGCATACTCTTGATAGTTTTTTTTATTTATATCTATGGGTGTAAGAATGATTCAAATAGGATATATTGTGATAAAAAAAAACTTGTCTTTTAGAGTTTTCATGGAAAAATGCTGAAAAGGGAAAACAGCTTTGGAGGGTGTTTGGGTTTATTGGTTAGTCTTGTAATTTTGGTTCATCTTCCCTGCACGAAGTCGCTCTGTTCCAGCGTTGTCTTTTTACAATTTTAATATATCATTGTCAACCAATTACAGCATTTGTTTATTTGTTTTAAAGAGCCTTTTATTTTTCCCCAGAATATGGCAACACCCCTCGGACTCATATAATAAGAATGAGAAAATTTTTTAACATGAGTTTTGAGAAAAATTTTTGATGGGCAATTCTGCATTTTGAATAGCAATAGAAGGACTTTTGATATTATTTTTATCTATAACGTTTGATTTTTGCGTAGACTTAATTAGATGGATATCGAGTATGTTCTTTTAAGCGTTTCAAAGAATTTCCATTAGTCACGGAATCATTTTGAAAAATTCAATCCACTTTTATTAGTGGGTTTTTCTGATTCTCAATAAAGTAACTCCAAGCTTTTCCATTTCTAACAAAGTACAACTATATTGATTATTTATCATCTAGTCAGCTCATCATTTTCCTAAAGAATCTGATCGAACTGATGTTGGTGAGTTTTACAGAAATCGGCATATCTAAAACATGGCGACCTAACTTTCAAGAGTCACAAATTTCATGTCACTGGACTGCTTATACTCTTTCCAGATATTATTATTCTTCATTCTCACTTCTCAATGTCTATCATAAGTCTGACGGAAAAACATCTATTGTCAGCTTCACATGGATGTCACAAAAACTATCCAGATAGGTTAGATTGGAAGAAATAAATGCAAAACACGATTAAGTCAATATCAAATTAAAACTGACAGTATAGGAGGCTTGTGTCTTTTCCTCTAAATATTTTTGCAATAGACTTGCCTCCCTCCTTGAGTACATGAGTAACAATTGTTAAACCCTCCCAGAAGTAGTCCGATAAGCATTAACCTTCTACAAAATGTAACAAGATTGTTAAGAATGATTATAAAACTGTTGGCAAGATGAGGAATACATCATTTAGGGATTTATTTCATATGCACTGTCCAAAAGGAAGTGCTTCTTAGGAACAAAAGTTCATAGATTGAAAACAAAGAACAAGGCATAATTACATGCCTTCCTTGCAAGAGAATAAACAGAAATGAATAAAAATTGAGTCATCAGCATACATGCACCATTTAAATATGATTCTCACTTTCAATTTGTGATGAATTATCAAGACAGCAGACGAAATGGATAAAATAAATAAATATATAAACAAATTTTGATCGAACCCAAGCCAAAATCTAAGATTGTCAAGCATGACTATAAAACTACCGGCAAGATGAGGAAGAAATATTTGGGATGTTATTTATATACACCACCCAAAAGGACATGCTTATCGAGAATTACAGTTTATTGATTGAAAAACAGATAGGTAAAAACATCATTCCACACATTTCTTGCCAGAGAATATAGAAGAATGAATAAAAATTGAGTGGTCAGCATATATTCACCCTTTCAATAATATTTTCATTTCCAAATTGTGAGGAACTATCAAGACAGTAGACGAAAAGTAGGAGGGTGGGGGCGGGAGGCAAAGAACATTAAAAAAGTTCACAGCAATCGTTGGGTACTTACTGCTAGTATCAGTTGAGACTGAACAAATTCATCCATGTCATGAAGACCTGTGACTGCATGAAAAAATGGAACAAGTCTTTGTTTCGTAGCCTGAACATAACTATACACATCATACATCAAAACATTATGAAGTTACAATCATGAACGCCCTTTACCATCAGGAGCACAATCAAACACAGTGTCTAATGACCTGAAGAAAACAAGACAAATGACACTTGATCATACTTCGATACAATAGCCAATTGGAGAAGATCATATTGGTAAGCAAAAAGCAGCATTGAAACAGCAAGTTCTATACTTTTAAGTTCCAACTAATTCCTAGAGGATGAAAATGAGATAAAAAGATCATTTAAAGACCAGGCTAAATCCATATAACCCTGTGTGACCATACCAAGAAACTACAACAATGTACATAATTGCATTTTGCACAGGATTGCAGTGACTTTCTTTCAATCTGATAACTATCTTCTGTTTCTTTACTGCATTTCCACCATCAGATTTTCTTATCTCCAAGAAGAAAAGAACAGCAGAAGGGAGTTGCAAGTATGTATTTGACATTTATACAAATCAGGAGCAACGACTATATAATTCTATGATAGAAATATATAATAGCAAACAAATGATTTAAACATATGAATTCATAATCTAAACATATCCTTCAATAATGGATCCTAACTCAAGCAGACTCAGAAGCATAAAATCTTTGATATCATGCATTATCCGCCCACCCCTAAAAGAAAATCATTTATATCTAACAGGAAAAGGGATAAGCAAAACATTAACTTGTCAGTAAAATTCAATGATACAGACTGGCTATTATTAACGAGTTTTTCCTACTAAAATTAAAGGCATAAATGGAAGATTTGAGATATTACTGCTGTACATACCACTTCAGCTGTACGGACATTAGTTAATTCACCCCGCACCTGAATAACACCTTCAAGTGGAGCCACGGGCCCTGGATCGATAGCAACTATAAGAGGAAGATCATCATCCCTGCATATCATAGTGTAGCAGGAAATTTATGGTCTTGACAGAATGACATGAATGATAATCAAAACATAAGCGATAGATGTTTTTGAAGATAAATTTCATGATAAAGAAAATAAACAATGTCAGTCCACGGTTTAAAAACTTCCGAAGTGGCCAATGAGTTTTCAATGATCACTGACAAAACATCAGATTTGCATAATAACTAATTGTTCATGAAATCTAAATCAAATGGCTCCTAACATCGTAAGAAAAACAACCACTTTGTGACTGCATCTTAAATTATTTAAGTTTTTAGGCAAATGAAAAATAATTGTACATAGCTTATGAAGAAATATACATAAATGCACAATGTATCAGTATTCAACAATCAAAAGCAAAGATTAACGGTCACAATATCATGCGAAAGCTCATCAATGGGAAAATGAAATTGAAGGTTTTAGAAAGAAAACCGAAAACAAAAATGAGAAGAAAGAACTCTGAAAAATATTTCTGAGGATGTATTTTATTCAATCTGTAAAATAAGTATTTAAAGACATTAAATCATGACTATAAAATAATAAAAATCTGCTAAAATCCCTATGAATCAGCAACTGACAGCAACCCACTAAATCAGCAAATACATGGCTAAAAAATAGGAAGTAACTTTGACAGAATCAAACTCTAATAATTTATTTTCAAATTGCAACTAATTCCTAAAAATCAGCAACAAACTAACGTCTGCTAGTGAGGCATATCTCAACAGAAATGCTTTTAAGCGCTAATTTATAGAACCAACACTATCCAAACAAGAAAGTTCTTGGTACCAATCTAACTTGCATTAACTCATATTTCTAAGTTGAAGCACAGAAACCTTAAAATCAAGGAAATTCTGAAGAAAGCAAAGAACTTTCCGAGAAAGTTAGTTTGTATCAGGTGCAAGTTTTGCTGGGAGATAGAGTTTACGACTCAAAACCTGAATAAAGGAACCAGGAATCATCCAAAGATTAAGATGAAAGCCATATGAGTTACGAAGAATAACTCAAGATTCTTCCATCAATGTTCTAGCACCAATAACTTAATTCATTTCCAAGATGGAGTGTGTTTTGCATTCTTAATAATGTCAAATATTATTCAGGAAATCATTTGTTGTAGATCAGCCAATGCTTTTTCCCTTAAACTAGCATGCTGATCTAGTAAATCTGGCTCTTTTTGTTGTATTCTTTGTTCACCCTCTAACAATAGTGTTCTTTTAGCATAAAGGAGAAAAGGAAAACCAGAAGTGCATTGATCATTACTTGTGTATTACTCCGCATCTCTCTTACACTCGACATTATAATATTTCTAATCACTAGTACCTGACCCCACCTACCAGGGGCAGCGCACAAATCTACCACCCGTTTCACTCCTGCAAAAGAAATAGTAACTGTAAGCCAAGAGAGAGAATTTGGGCACATAGATACAGCTGTACAGATACGCATGCACACAAGTGTTTCATGCTGCGCCGTTAAATTGTGAACTACAAAACTCACTAAACCTTCCAGATAATTTTAAGACGCTAAAGCCCAAGCTTTCTAGTAAAAGTTGTGGACTCAAGCATGTTAAGATATTTTCCGAAGCCTAATTTCTAATTCTGCCTAACACTAATCACATTCTCAACCTCAAATACAAAACAGAGGGCAATCCTTCTGATCAGGCCAATGAATTCATTTGTTTCTCCAAAATGCTAAGAAAAGCAAGCTAAAAATGGTTATTGTGGCTGGATATTCTGAATTTCACCAACAAGGGACGCACCTTCAAATATGCTGCATTCCTTATCTATTTGAAGAAGTTTAAAGGCACTTCGAGCACGCCAACCTTCTTCTTGTGCTTTCCGGTAGTAGATATCCTGTAAAAAGAAGAGGAAAACATCCAGCAGAACATAGAGAAGCAACAAAATAAGAGACATAATCAGAGAAAGATATCAACCATACCCTCTTATCCCTTGAAGCCCTGCCCATGATTTTAATTTACTGACTTCTCAATTTTGTATTTAAAAAGACCTCCTTTCACCAAGAATACTATCAATGTTAGTGTTCCAAGAACCTGCCAAACATTCAGGGCAATCAAAGTTAGTCTGATAAAATAAAAAATGAAAAAGCAAAAGGATGAAAGAGAGATAACATTTAGCTCGTTTGCGAATTGTGAGGTACAGTTCATTTGAAATGGGGAGGCAGCTCCCTTCATCAATAGGTCCAGCCAGCTTGAGAACAAAAACAAAAATAGAGGCAGATGAACATTTATTTATAGGAAAAGTAATATTTTACTTAGTATAGTTTTGACTCATTTGTAACTCAGTTCCTATGACTTTAACTCGGTGTAACTCAATCTCTATAATTTTGACTCAGGTGTGATTTAGTTGATGAACTTTGACCTAATGTAATTCAGTCCCATAGCCACGGGCTAACCCATAACCATGATGAAACATTGAAACTGTTTAAACTCATTATAAATGGGCTGCGAATAAACAAGCAGGTTAACCCGGAAAGGGGAAGTTTTCGGTTGATCACCTTTTCTTATACGTGGAAAAGGAAACAGAACAAGAGTTTAACCGCCCTTAACTATTTTAATCCTTCTTTTTGTGGTTTTAAAACAATGTTAACAGTATATATTTAGAAAAGAGAATGAAACTAAGGTGAAGGAAGTGAAATACTTGAAAAGGCAAAGGGGGATGAGATGGGGGTTGATGGCAATCACAAATCATTTTTCAAATAGTCGATCCTAGTCCCCGTTTTGACAAGTCTAATGCTAATTAACTGTTCTACCAATTCTCTTTCTTGCTCTCCAACATCAAGAAGGAAAAAAAAACTATAATTCTTCGTTTAAATTTTCAGCCACTTCTAGTAGCTCAGCCAGGATCACAAATATGATTAAAATCCATATAGATTTCACACGCTCGAATCATCTTGTTGACCAAATCAGTCACAAGACAAACAAAAGAAAGACACCCAGAAGCCACAATCACAGATTTCTAGTTTAGATAGCAAACAACAGCATAAGTAATTGATGATAAATATAAAATAATAAAGTGGAGAGAAAAATAGGAGAATGAACTGATAATTTTCATTGACTGAATGAGCCTTTAAATAGGTAAATTACGTGATAAATTAATAATAAAAATAATACCTCCACCTCCTAAAAATTAGCCATGACTCACAAAATGGGATAATGGAATCTCATTAATCCTAAATGCATGGGATGTGGGCAGCAAAAATCACGCAACAAATAATCAATAACAGGAGAGTGGGAATAATGGGTAATCAGATGAATAATTCAAAGAAATTAAAATAAATTAATTTCCAACAATCCCTCCCTTAAACTAATGTTTGCAAACATTTAGTTTAAGAGTACCAGGATTTAAGCTAAGCCCTCCCATGAACAAAATCTTCCATAGAATACACTCCAAGCATCTTTCTAAGCTTCATGAACAGATCTTGCTTGAGTGGTTTAGTAAAAATGTCAGCCACTTGATCTTCACTTTTGCAGAATACCAAATCAATAGTGTCATTATTGCAAAGGTCACACAGAAAATGATATCTCATGTCAATATGCTTGCTTCTTCCATGCAATGTTGGATTTTTGGAAATTTTAATTGCTGAAACATTGTCGTAATAAATAGTCGTTAGACCCTCTTCTTGCTTCTGAATTGTTTCAAGCAATCTTCTTAGCCATATAGCTTGACAAGAACAAGCTGTTGCAGCAACAAATTCAGCTTCTGTAGTCGACAAAGTAACAATTGGTTGTTTCTTTGAAGACCAAGAAATAGCGCCATCACTCATCATAAAAACAAAGCCTGATGTACTTTTTCTGTCATCCAGGTCTCCAGCATAATCACTGTCAGAAAAGCCATGAAACTTTTCTTTTGGGTTAGCCTTATAAAAAAATACCAAAATCAATGGTACCTTTCAACTAATGAAAAATCCTTTTTGCAGCTAACAGATGATTCTTAGTTGGATTTTCCATATAACGACTTATAAGACTAACACCATGCATGATGTCAGGCCTTGTAGAAGCGAGATACATTAAACTTCCAACCATTTGCTTGAAGAAAGTAGCATTAACTTTCTCTCTTCCATCATCTTTCACTAACTTTAAGCCACATTCTACTGGAGTATGAATAGGATTGCAATCCCTCCTTCTGAACCTGTCCAAAATCTCAAGAACTTACTTCTTTTGTGAAATAAAAATCCCACTTGATGATTCCATAACTTCAATGCCAAGAAAATAACGCATTAAGCCCAAATTAGACATCTCACATTCTTTCATCATGTTCTCCTTAAAGGGATCAATCATGCCTATATTATTTCCAGTATAAATCAAATCATCAACATAAAGAGACACAATAAGAAATTTTCCATCTTTTCCAAATTTTGTAAAGAGAGTATGTTCATGAGGGCATTTGGTGCTTGTTTGAGGCCATACAAAGCCTTTTTCAATTTGTATACCTTTTCTTCGCTCCCTTTGTCCACATATCCAAGTGGTTGATCAACATAGACTTCTTCCTGCAACTCACCATGTAAAAATACAGATTTCATATCTAATTGCTAAACTTGCCAAGAATTTTGGGTAGCCATGGCTAACACTAAATGAACAACGTCAAGCCTAGCAACTAGAGCAAAAATTTCTTTATAGTCAATCCCAAATCCTTGCCTGTAGCCTTTTACAACAAGGTGTGCTTTGTATTTGTCAACTCCACCATCTTTGTTCAGCTTTGTTTTGTAAACTCATTTGACTCCAATGGATTTCTGCCCCTTCAGGAGCTCTGCCAATTCCCATGTATTATTTTTCTCTATAGATTTGATCTTCTCATCCATGGCAATTTGCCATTTTTTATCTTTATTAGCTTCTTCAAATGTGAGAGGATCACAATCTGTAAACAAAGCAAGGTGAGCTACTGAATATCATCAGATAAATCATCTCCACTTACATAATCCAGCATCCAAGAGGGTCTCTTTCGAGCTTGACTTGCACGAGATTCTTCCACTATTATAGTGGTTGGTGCTTTTACACCATTTGGAGAATGTTCAAGAGTAGCAACAATGGTATTTTTTGAGTGTGGCACTTGCTCCTTTTCGTCTTCAATTTCATCATCACAATTAATTGGAGAAGGCTGCTGCCCATTCCAATTCCAAGTACTATCTTCATTAAAAATAACATCCTTGCTAATCACAATCTTATTAGTTAGGGGATTAAATAATTTATAAGCTTTAGATTGTTCACTTACACCCAGAAAAACACATTTTTCACTTTTATCATCAAGTTTCTTTCTTTTCTCATTTGGAACATGAGCATAGGCAATGCAACCAAAAATTCTGAAGTGGTCAACAGCTGGCTTTTGTCTACTCCAGGCCTCTTGTGGAGTCATGTTTTGAACAGAAAAAGTAGGACATTTATTCAATACATGAATGCTCCAATTTACTACTTCTGGCTAGAAATTCTTTGGAACTTTTCCCTTCGCTAGCAAGCTTCTCACCATGTTGAGGATGGTTCTGTTCTTCCTCTCTGATACACCATTTTGTTGTGGTGTATAAGCAGCTGTAAGCTCTTTTCGAATACCAAATTGCTCACAAAAATTTGCAAATTCTTTTGAGCAGTACTCTTTGACATGATCTGTATAGAGAGTTTTAATCATCTTTCCTGCTTCCTTTTCAATTTAAGCTTTAAAGCTTTTAAATATTTTAAAAGCTTCATTTTTTTTCTCATAAAAAAATAAACCCAAGTTTTTCTAGTAAAATCATCAATAAATGTGATGAAATATTTTTTACCACCATTGGAAGTTGTGTTATTGGCCCACAAATGTCAGAATGAATTAACTCCAAGACTTATTTTGCTCTCCATGACTTTCCTTGAGGAAATTGAGAACGTGGTTGTTTGCTAACAACACACTCCTCACAAACTTGGGAAGGAGCAGAAATTTGAGGAAGACTAGGGACCATACTTTTCTGATGAAGAGTTTTCAATCCACCAAAGTTCAAGTGGATGTAACGGTAATGCCAAAGCCACGAAACATCCTTCTCATTAGCCAACAAGCAAGATTGAACACTCATTATCTTCAAAGGGAATAACCTGTTTGAAGTCATTGAAATAATAGCAATAGCACCTCGTGAAGGATCATATATTTGACATGTCCTATTTTGAAAAGTATAGTATAACCTTTTTCTTACAATTGACCACCACTCAACAAATTACTTTTCAAATCAGGAACATAATAGACATCAGAGATGGTTTCAACAAAACCATTTTTAGTTTTTATTTTAATATTTCCTTTTCCCAACACCTTAACAATAGAGCAATCACCAAAACTTAAAGTGGAATTGAAACTTTCATCTAAAGAAGAAAATAAAGATTTTCTTCCACACATATGGTTGCTGCAGCCAGTATCGACATACTAAATATCTAAATAAAGTGCCTCAGTAACTTGATATGCCATCAACAAGGTATCTTCAGCCTTCTGTTGTGCAAAATTTGACTTCTCTCCTTTTTCCTTGTTAGGCAACCTAGCATAACACTCAGAACGATAATGGCCAAGCTTATGACATCTAAAGCATTCTACCTTAGATTTATCAAATTGTTGATCTCATTCTTCATGTCTGCCTTGAAATTCATCCTCCACCCATTTGTCATCTCTATGGCCTTAGTCTCCTCTTTCTCTACCGCGGCCTCTTCCTCTACCTCGACCTTAACCTCTACCTCTACTCCTTCTTCTAGAGTTTGAGGAACGAGTAGTAGTGGAAGTCTTAAAGCTTGTGCTTCTGATGTTGAACTACGATTCATTTTCTGCTCATGAACTAACAAGGAGCTCTGTAATTCATCAAGTGAGAGTGCATCTATATCTTTCAACTCTTCAATAGAGCAAACGACATAATCAAATTTGGAAGTTAATGAACGCATATTTTTTCAACAATAGTAACATCTTGCATTTTTTTTGCCATATAAACGCATCTTGTTACTTATCTCCAAA